ATTCTGCTCTGACCTTTCTCTAGCACACTTCACATCTGACTGGGAACTTCTAAAGAAATAATGCAATGCATTTATGTGGCAGATGTCAGAAACAATATTATCACTGATACAACAGCATTTCTAGAGAGATCATGAAAGCATACATGAGTAAGAGAAAGGATATCCCAAGGTTCACCTCTTTATCCAGTCCAAAATGGAAGACTTTTTTGAAACATGCTGAATTTTAAAACTACCCTTTGAGAAAGTTTGGCTATCCCAGATAAAAATTTATAAATCAATTTAAAATGCAATGGGGAGAAAAAAGTACCAAGTACGCAAACAAAACACTCAGAGAGACCTGAACTTGTACATTGTTAGTCATTAATCTTGGTTAACTCCCAAACTGCACAGAGTTTGCCCTGGCTCTGCAACAGGACTAATCTCAGATGGCCAGAGTCTTCCATAACTGCAGACAATGTTCAGTGAGTGTAAGTTCAGCCTCCCAACTGCTACCTTTTTCATCTCACTTTCTCTGTTAGCACTGATATTGATGTAATTAATGAAGCAAAAAATGTTAACATTATGAAAAAAAGTGTCAAAAAATGCCAGCTCTCATATTTATCCATGAATCTTTCTGTAGACCAGTGAATGACATTGTAATTTTTTCATATATATAATCTCTTTTAAAACTGAATTTCTCTTTTATTGAAACATTATACTGTCCCTTGTTTGTTCTGTATAAGTATATATTTCAGCAACTTACTTTTTGTAAGTTAGGCTTGCACAAAGAAATAAGTGTTCAGGTCTGTTCTGTATTTGCATGCTAATTTACACAAGAGCCATGGAAAAGCTTCCATTTGACCTTGAATTTAATTCATTGGTCAGAGTACATACTTCAGGAGGGTTTTTTTGCCATATTTCTTCCTAAACGCATACCTTAAAGTCATCATGATTCCTAATTAGATGAAATATAACAAGACATATAATTACTTTCTTTGCATCTGTTCATACATACACATTTCCTCATCAGTGGAGATTCCATTTCTTGGCCTTTAAATGTGGAAGCTTTTTAATTAGCAATGAAATGCTCTTTTTACTTCACTTACTTTTAGTTGCTTTTTTTAACGTACCACTGTGCCTTTGGTTTCTCATATCCATGTCCTTTCCTTTGATTTTTGAGGTCTGTGATTTTCTGTGGTGGTTTCTAAGATAAATACTCCCTCAGGAAAATATGGTAAACACCAAAGCACAGTACAGAAAATGTCAAAAACAGGCATTTCCCTGTGTCTGATCTGTTTGGTTTCCTACTTATAATCAATAAGAAGAGCATGTGCTCCATTTCCACTGTCAGTGTGAAATAGGGCAGATCCCAGAGCACATTTTCTTTATATTTAACCAAAACCTGACATTTTAATACAGATGATTCCTAAAGGTTTTACATACTAGACATGAGGTATTTCACTTTACCCACCATTCCTGACTGCTTCTTTAACTTCTCCTGAAACACAGTTAAACAGAAAACTTTCCTTGTTTGTGTGTTCTCTTGCCCTCACATTCATTTGTGTACAATCACATTAAAAGCTGGAAGAAGCATGAAAATAAACAGCATCCATGACTTCTGTGCCAGTTTTGAGAGCACTCTAGCTCCAGCTAGAGTTTAAAAAGCCAACAAATGCCCTCTTCCTCTTTATTCCTTCAGTGCTCTCTACTAGGGGAGAAAATTACTTTTCTAGTTTAGCAGTTTTTCTGAAATGTAAAAAAAATTACTGGTCCAGGACAAAAATAAAGTGTCAATTTTAAACTGAAAATAAAAAAAAATTATATGGCACAAACAAAGGAATTCTTGTTTTGATATTTAAGTATGGTTTAAAAATAAAAAATTTATTAAATTAACAGAAAAATAATTCAAACTGAAATTTCAAATATACATATATTTAAAAATAACAAAACTAATCTTGTGAGAATTTTAGCATATAGAAAAAAGTGATGCCTACAGCAAGTGCTTTTGCCATAAACGTCATTTATTTGGACTTTTTTAATCCATCTTATGTGACCTAACATATTTAACAAGATTATTGTGGCCTATTAAGATATTCTAGTCCCCATTTGCTTTCTTGTAAAATAAAATGGGTTGCAATATCATAGCTCAGCCAGTTTCTCCAACTGAAATCTTAATTGAAACTATAAGTGAAAACACCTAAGTGCTAATCACTGCAAAGCACTGATAGACTCCCTCTGAAGTGGTGCAAAGACTTATGGTCAGGAGCACAAAGATGAAATTTATTACCATAGTGACAAGGGCTTGGATGCCATTGTCCCACTTCTGTGTTGGAAGATGAGAAGGGAAAAGAAGCAGCCAAGAGAGGAAATGACAAAAAATAGTAGCAGAGCCTGGCTACTCACTGCAGCAGCTGATGTTGACAATTCCTTCTAAAAGCAAGGTTTCTGCCATCATCTCCTAACTGTTTAAAGCAGGGCACCATGCCACACCATCACCTGCCCCCAGAGGAACATCAGCCACCAAATGGACTTTCCAGGACATTGCTGCAGACCACAGTCATTTTGTAGCTGCCAGCCCTCTCCCTTCTCAGAAAACCACATTCCTTGTCCTTAGAGTTGGCTCTACTCCCCCTGCTTAGGAATTGGGAATGGGTCATTGAAGGGTAGGTAGACAGATAGAAAACATTATTTTCCTTTAAATAAAGCAGCTATTTGCTTCAAAGCATCAGACTAACTCACCTTTTAAACTCAATGCTGTTGAGAGTTTCAAATGATGCTTGCCTTTGCAGCCCACAACTGCTAAAGCTGATGGCTCCATTGCCAGAATTCCAGTTCTCCATTTCTCAGCAGATGTACTTGGCTCCACATTTCCATCTTCAATTTTCAGTGTACATTCATATTTTTTCCCACCTGTGATAGAGCTAGATTTCATTGCAAAGGACAATGACTGCCATTAAGTGGAAATATTTCTCAATTTGATTAATTATCTATTCACTCACAGGCTTTTTCCAGATGGCCTCCAATCTGCAAGTTCATGAACAGCTTTACCTTCCAATCTTAAGTATACTATAAGTAAGCTGGCAGTCTCCTTTCCCTAGAAATATCAGGCCCAGATGCCTACTTTTCTGGCACTTTTCCTGGAGTGTTACATAGTGTACTTGCTCACACTAATGATGTATGTCAGGCACACAAGTCTGCAAGCTTTAGAGCCTTTAATGCAGCAATTCTGAAATGTTTTGTCTTGCTAACCTCTTATAATTAGATCATGATAATTACATTTATGTAACGAGTAAATCATTTCTTCAATCTTTACCACTTTATTACTGACCATTCTGTCTCTGTTTTCTTCCTGATGCAGAAATTTAATTGACTCAGCAAAAATTGTTACATTTTTCTGATGTAGGCCATTCTATCTGTTTTATTTTATCTGTTTCATGCTCAGACTTATGGATATCTATATTGCTGTGATCCATGTGAGTTGTGCCCCTTAGTATATCATGATGTCCTCAGTTTTTTGGCAGGTGGGATTAAAGGGGCAGACCATATAACCTAACTGCAGTCTAGAAGCAGGAAGAAAATGGGGCACTGCGCCCTGATTATATCCTCTGACCTAACCATGGCTGCCAAACACATCTGTCCTTGTAAATATTTTTTATTTCTAGTACTGTTGAACCCTTGGAGGTATTAGAAATAATAAAGGTATGTGTTGGGCACAGATCCACAGGAAACACTTCAGGCATGTAGACAGTTGAAGCTGATTTCTCTTGTATAGCAACAAAACAAGTCTCCTATGAAGAACTATGTCTTTCTCGTACATTCGTTATTCAGTGCACAGTCTTGAATATTTAATTACACACACAAATACAAAGAGTTTAAAAGAAACAGAAAAACAAAGCACCTTTGTACTACTACACATCAACCAGCTGCTTCTCCATCTGGCGCATTTTGTCTGCTTCATCATAGTCCCAGCCATATTTACCTGAGACCTGACTTTACTGAGGTTCCTGATAACCTATTTCATACTGAGAACTTGTGTATGGAATTATCTCTGGATCTCCTTACACTATACCATTTCTCAGATAAAATATGACTTTGAGCTTTTATGCGCTTGTTAGCTTAAGAGTATATTAATTTTTTTTGTTCTTATATAGATCAAACTCTACTACTGTGATACAACGAAAAACCTGACACCCAAACAGTCAGAAGTATGCAATGAAAATTGCCTTAACCATTTTTATATATGTCTCCATAGAAAAATATTATTTGATGCAAATATTAAGAATGCATCTTGAAAGTTGCAAGAAACAGTTAAAAGGCTGTGCAGTATTCGAGCTGCTGAGATGGAAACGGAGATAGAGAAATACTTTCAGAATTATGCTTCTGTGGCAGACACCACAGAGAATTTGGCACCTTGGACCCTGACAACACACAAAAGCAGGATTCTGCTTTCCTACCCACCCTCCAGCACTACAACCAAAATCAGATCTGAGGAAGTGGCAAAGGAATTTTTGGCAGCAGGCTGGCCAGCCTGCTGAGGCGAGCTTTAAGCTAAAAAATTTCAGGGCACTCTAGACCTGAAGTGGTGGCACCTGTGCCGTTTTCCAACCAACTGGGGAATAAGCCAGGCCAACCAAAGCAGGAGCTAATGTTCCTTAGCTGCTTCCCAGGATGAGGACCAGAAGACAACCACAGCAAGTGTGTGTGTACAGTGCACACAGCCAGGAGACCAAACAGGAGGAACTGGAGCTCCGCACCCACTCAAAGTCACACAATTTTAGGAATAACTGAAGCATGGTGGAACAACTCACGACAGGAGGATCGTGATGCATGGCTATAGGCTGTAAAGATAGAAGGAAGAGGAGGAGGAGTCACTCTCTCTGTTAAGGAGAATTGGATTGCATGGCATTCAACAATGGCAATTTAGGAATTCTTATTTAATGCCTCTGAATCAAGATCAGAGAGGTTGTCTCCAAAAAGGATCTTACAGCAGGCACCTGCCATCAATCTCAAAACCAAGATGACAAGGCCAACAAGGCAATATCTGGGTTGCTTAAGCAAGCTTCAAGTCAACAGAGCATGGCTCTTATGGATGACTTCAACTGCACAGACTTTTATCTGTGCAGTTTTGTTTTGTTTTGTTTTGTTTTGTTTTGTTTTGTTTTGTTTTGTTTTGAAGAAGAATATAGCAACTCACATGGCATCCATCAAGTTTCTGGAATGCATAGAGGAGTGCTTCCTCGTACAGATGTGAGATGTGCCAACCAGGAATGAGGCACTACTGTATTTGCTACTCACAAACCAAGGTGCACTATTATTGTGAGTTTCCATGTCACATTCACCTCTTTTCATCAAAAAAGGACACGCTTGTATGGGAGGATATGTGGTCAACTCAACCTCATCAATAGTAAACTGTTTCCACTGTAACATTTTACTACTAAAATTTTAAAGAAGCCTAATTGTCACCTCAGCTACATGAATATTTGTCATCATTTTCTGATGAAATATATAGGCTGAAGTTAGTCAGAACTGTAAACATTCAGTAGATTTTGAAACCCGCACTATTTTTAAGTGAGTACCTTTAGAAAAAATATCACCAATTAACCACACCTGCACTGTAATACACACTGAAATAAATAAAAGTATCTTGCAGTGATTTCAACAGTCTGATCTTTAATTGTTATCTGTTCATGTACATGCATAACTATATCTGTACATTTTTTTTATTTTAAAAAAAATATATAAAGGCCAAACCAGCGTTCTATATCACTGATGATGATGAGTTTATTTTCCCAAGCATGCTGGGATTTGACTTACTGACATAAGGCAGACAGGACATATTGTTCTAATGTTAAGTCTTCATATCTGCAGCTTGACAGGTCCACAAAAATACATTAAATCCAAAGGCTGAAGTGAATCCTTAAAAGGACAACTTGAAAGAGAAAACAATTAGAAACCTCAGCAGATAACTGCTGTGCAGGTTCCACATAAGAAATAAAATGAAATACAGGAAGATAAACCAATGACTCATCCTATAAAAAAATGTACTGGTAGATTTTCTGTGGCAAAGGAATCAGTCAGAGAATGGTTGGGATTATTTTAGGAAAGCAAAGTTTAGCACTGACTATGAGTGTAGACTTGTGTTTATGGGTCTTTATCATACACAAAAATATATAGTTATCTAATAAAGCTGAGATAAAGAATATATAGATACACTATGATATTGCCTAAATTCTCCTGCACATATTTACTGTTGGAACTTTCAGATTTTCCTTTCACTTCCGATCTTCTTCAACTGTTTAGTGTTCATTATCTGAGATTTCATTTTATCATATAAAGAGTTTGTTAAGAACACACAGACTTGTCCATACCAACAGGTTGAGCTGGGTTCTGTCTCCAAGAAAAATACATACCAATTAATGGAAGTTTAAAAATGTATGGTGTGTGGCATTTCACTATTCTTCAATAAGAAACAAACTTTACATGAATCTTCACATTTTCCTCTGGATAGCAAGTAAAATGAACAATGAAATATCACTTTTTAAAACTATTTCTCTGAAGTTCTTTCTTTGACTTTTGACACAAACTGGCTGTGGGCTCTTCAATGGTGAGGGAGACAAGCAAACTGTCACCAAGGTTGGCTCAAATTTTGAATAAATATAAGAATTCCACACGAGCAGTATCATAAGAGAGAAAACTAACTGGTGAAGATGAATATTATATACATTTGCTTCCTAGGGCCCTTCTAGCCATATTTATAACGTTCTATCCCCCCCAAAATTCTCAGAAAATTAGTATAGGAAATGTATCTCAAAAATGCACCCAGTTGTTATTTCCTTCACACTATTTGCATCCCACAGAGATTCTTTCTAATACAATTACCTTCGTCTATTGGAGGTTTAAACTTACATCATTCGTATGCATATTTATATTCATAATTCTTTTTCAAAAACTACCTTATTCTCCAAGGCTTGTTACAATATTTTGAGAAATATAGTAAAATAAATATTTACTTTTGAATGTAGTGATTCCAAAATTCTAATACCCAGAAGATGGCAATCTGGTAAATGGGAAATCAGTTTTAAACAGATCTATTTGCATCGTAGTTGGTAAAAGGTATGAGAAGTGTATAATGAGTAACTGTAAAAAATGGCTATTATTTATTTACTTTCATAGAAGAAAATCCATAGACACAGGCAGGGATTAAAAATTTTAAAAACTGAAAGCTTTAGCTTGCTTATCAATTTTGTTTAAATTTTTAAACCCCAAAACATTTTCAAGACATGGCTATCTTGTCAGCAGCACTAGAGAAACCAATGTTGTTTTTGTTGTTGTTTTATGGGTTTACCTGCAACACACATGCCATTACTTTTTGATAGTAACGTAAGACAAAAAAAATTTACCAAATTGTTAATTGCTTCCAGTTGCTCTTGGGTTGATAGAGGAAATAATGAAAACCTGCTGTTTCTACCTTTGCATTAGCTTTCAGACTGTGATTCCCTTCCAACTTAATAGTCTATTAGTTTTTCTATTTTAATTAATAAATTTTGTCTCATAGTTAATAGAATTAATATTAGACATCAAGATTTACTAATCTTTCTAAAAAGGTTAAATCCCCACAATACTAAATGTCAAAATCTTTTCTTAAAATGAGCCTGAAAGCTTGGTCTTCAACTATATGAAATCAGAATAAGTTCCTTATGATTTGTTTGTGCTCCTGTTAAACTGACAGATAATATTGAGGTGGGAGCAGAGCCAGAGCACAAGGGATCTTCCTCTCTGCTTGGGAAATTGTATTCTGTGCTTTTGCACTGCTGGCATTCTCAAAAGGATGTCTTGTAACCCAGCATGCAAAGGTGCAATTCTTTCACTGAAAATACTTCCCCTGGAAGTAACAGTTAGTTAGTGTGTTTCTTAAACAGACAAAGAAAGTGAGCAACGATGCCTAATAGCTGTTAGTGTTCTGTACCTGATCTTCTCTTCAGTGTAATTAATTGGAAAATTTTCTCTGTCTTGAACAGTACCAGTGCTGGGCCCTGCAGACTCAAAATGAAGTGCGGTAAAATATTTCCTACTTTCTTTCTCATTAGTGAGAACATACAAATATTAAAGCTGAATGTTTCACCTGAGTGATTTTGTTCAGTTCTGGTACACTAAAAATAAATGGATTAGTTATCTATGCAGTCAATCTAAAGCTTGACTAGCTCTAGCTGACAATCAGTTTTTAAAGGTGGAAGAATACCTCATTATATAAATATATTTGAACCTTTTAGTATCACACACTGATGGGAACTTGGTATCATGGGTTCTTACCCAAGAGTTTTATGCGTGTAAGTTTGAAGTAATTGGATTTTTTTTTTTATTACTGATATGTGCTTGCATAAAGGAGATTCACAGAATAAAAAAAAAAAGAGAGAAAAAAAAAACCCAAACCCCCAAAAAACGGCAAAAAAGAGTGCATGTAAATGAACACAGTGACGGTTTCATTCCACAGCATAATACATGTTATTCTGTCAGGGATTCCTTGTAAAATGGCTGCTCTGGGCATAAACCTGATGCAAAATACATTCCATATTGCAGCCTCCATTAGTTAGATCATTAGTAGATTTTGTAAACACTAGCTGTAAGCATATTTATGAGGTTCTTTATTCCCTTCTATTGCTTGAAAAAGAAAAAATATAAAATATTTTATTAATATATTCCACCAATAAACATCTTTTTAAATGTATGAAACTTCTGTTCTAAAAATGCAAGTATTGCAAAAACTTTTGTTCAGTTAGGCAATAATGCCCTATTTACACTGTTTCTTTTACTTAAAGCCAGGACCAAAATACTTGTGGTCTATACAAGTGCTTTCAACATTTCACACTTAGCAAAATGGGGTGAGAATGTAAACAAGCATATCTAAATCAGTATTGTGAACTTACTAGTTTGTATATTTTGCAAGTTTGTTTGAATTTGTTGCTTTGAACTAGAATGGCATGATTTATATTGAAAAACCCCCTCAGATATATTCTTTGTGAAGTGCTTCCAATGTAGGAAAAAAATACTCGCCTCCCTCTCACCCTTGTCTTAGATGCATTACAATATTTTGTACCTTCTCCTCTTTATCCAGCTGATCTATTATCTTGAGGGGATTGTATTTCTGAAAAGCTAAAGGAAACATTCATCCATCAGCCACAGATCACAAAGTTCACGTTGAATGTACATGAAATGTTTAATTTCGTGCTCTACAAAATATCACGGTTTCCTTATCACCCCGTTCCACCCTTTCCATCCCTATTTCTTCTCTCACTGAGACATCTGCACAAGGCTAAAGAGACAAGGTCAAAAAGAACTAAACGGTAGACAGTCCTCTACCAAAGAGCAAGCAAACAATCAGTCTTATCCCCAGTTAATTCTGAGATCTGGGCAGGTGGTTAGTCCTGCAAGGGGCCAGATCTGCAGAGAGTGCAAATCAGTGTCACTCCACTGGAATGCAATTAGGCCAACTTCACACCATTTAAGAATATGCTTTGGGATTTAGTTTAGCTAATGCCAGAGCTAAGAAAAAGCAATCCTTGATTCTTAAAACCAAGGTCAACCTAGGCAAGCAGTAAGTTATTGCTTGCTTGCTTTGTTTATCATTTACAGTGTTGTTATTTTATCTTTTATTAAGAAAGGAAAGATAAATGCTTTAAGGTGTACCTTTCAACGCTTAAAGCATTTTATAGGTCTGTGTAGACAACTGATGCTATCGTCAAAGTCAATAATAAGAAAATGTAAATTGTATTTTATTCTCACAGTTTAAGGATTTTAGTATTTTTTTAATAGCTGCAGGGATTCACAATGCAGGTATATGAAAATTAGAATTTCTTCTTATTTTGCAAACTTTTTATTATGCATGCTACAGGCAAGCTAGAAAAGATAGGTACAGCAGTGATTAGGAAGGGATATATTATTGCCACATTATAACTCACAAACAAGTTTTATGTTTTTCTCCATAGTACTAGAAGCTCAAATTTTTTGAGTCATAGAATCTTATCATCACTCAGCTTTTAGATTAAGGCAGCATTCATTGATTTATATCAGATGTAAAGAAATTCCCTTGTCACAATTCTTTTTGATGCACAGGGTAT